TGTGTCTGTGTGTGAGGGTTTGTGCATGCGTGAGCATGTGTGTGTAACTGGGATTATGTTTTGTGAGCATGGAGCTTCAAGTCTTGTTGAAACGTATTTGGGTGCCTGTATTCAACATCGCCTAAACAACGAGCCTTTTTTTTGCACCCATGCCTGAATGGACATGCATTTTGCAGGCTATGGAGAGCGGTAGCAACACGCTTGCAGCCACCAGCTTTAGTGTTAGCTGGAAGGAAAGCATTGAGGATGGGTGTGACAAGTGGAAAGCACATGCGCTGGCCGCGCCGGGTGACATGACCAAGCTCGCGGGGCTGTTGGAAGGCAAGGCCGAGGAAGGCGAGGTACTAAATGGTACCATACGTGTGAAGAACGGCATGGCTATTCCAGGCGACGAGGATTTCACCAAGTACTCCAGTCAGACACATTATGTGCGAGCGTGCGCGTCTTTCGGCGACAAACCATGGTTCAACGATGTAGCAGTGCTTGGTGAAGAGGAGGTTGAGGCTGCAGGAGGCCAAACGACCTCGCGGAAGGTGATATGGTATGCAAGACTCCTGCTGTTGTTTACCATCGACGTGTACACGTCAGAGACAAAGGCGTTTTCCAAGCGCGCGTACGCATTTGTCCGCTATTTCAGAGCCACTGGTGCGGTGCACACATCAAAATGCCCGGTGTATGCTTGGGAGGAAGGAGACAACGAGTACCAACTGCTTGAGCTTGATAACATTCTGCGCGTAGCTCATATGGTTTCGGTCAGTGAGGGGCTCTTTGTTATGAACAAGTTCAAATTTTATTAAAAAAACGATGGACATAACACAATCAGTTCTGTACTTCGAATATTGTAAGCATCGCTTGTTGAAACGAGTCCGCTATGTCTCCCCTATTATCCCTTGTTCCGATTGGAAGTGTAACATTCACCCGTGCGTTGTTGGCGATGTTGTGCCACACTAGTAATCATTACACAGTTGCTTGCTGGCATGCTGCCGCGCAACTGGGTAGCCTTTCCTGCCTCGTTGGCTAGCGCGCAGTTATCTGCCTGCTGTGCTGTGTCCACCATGCCATTGTTAAGGTTTGTCTGGCTCGATGCAAAGTAGAAATGGGTCCTTCGTAACAGCTTCGCAGGACGTCACTTACAGCTGTCAGCCTTCCAGTGACTTCGACAATGTCGCCAGTTTCGCAGGCAAGCCTCTCATTCGTTGGACTTCCATGCATAGCGACCACGCGTTGAAAGATACACGTCACTAAACTTTTTGCACCGTCATTGTTCGCAGAATAGTTCGTTGTTTAGCGGCGCAGTTGTCGCGTTGTCTGCCACGTATGTGTCGTGAGACCATACATTGCCAGATACAGCACCAACGTGTGGAGCGTTTTGGCGTATTTCAAGGACAATCTCGTTTCGGAAAGTGAACCAAAGCAACTATTCATGAGTAGAATTCGCATGTTCTGTGTAATGCTGTTCGGTACTTACTTAACGACTCGCAACTAAGTGCGATGTATCATCTATCGCACTAGCGTTTAACGCTCTGGTCCATTCGAGCAGGGTCGTTGATTAAAGTCCGAGGTGAAGGGTTTGGTCCACTGTTCTCGCAAAGTGTGGTATCGGTGTAATAATTTGCTTGTGAAGTAGCTCGGGGTGAACCTTCACGCTGTCAACAATACCCATCGCAACATGCCTTAGTCATCGATACCAACGACCTGTGCACTCATCTCGTACCCTACCAGAGCAGCTTCTCTTCGTTTCCAACCAGCCGAGCTTCGTCTCCATCTCGAAGTTCCGCCTAGTCCCATTATTTTTTGCCTCGTTTTCATCTATGTGCCCTTTGCCTGTTAGTGGGCACTTTAGGAAACATGGCGGTAGGCGTGCCACCAGAAATTATGGAGTTGCAGCGTAAGAGATCCAGGACCTCTAACAGGCGTCTCGAAGGCTACGAGCTTGGTAGCCCAACCACAGGAGCTCGTAGAATTTCTACTCCAGCCCAGCAGGTGGGTACCCCGAGCGCTCAGCCTGCGGAACCCCAGCCTCTGCAAGACCTTGAGGCACTTGAGGCCGAGCACACAGCAGACAATGGAGTTGCCTCTCCCAACCACGCTTCGAACGCTACCGCACACGTGGCGCAACCTGGTGCTACGGCAAATGTCATCGCATCCGCTAGAACTGGCGGTACGTTTTACTGATTACTATTCTGTTTCTGTGTGCGATTTTTCCATTGTTTCATTTGGCCTTATAAATATTTAAGTGTCATGACGTTTTGCTCTAATGAAACCTCCCTTGTGTTTTCAGGTGTGCGCTCGTCAGATCGTGATGTTCATCACCCCGAGGCCAACTCGTACAACCACATCGACGCTGCCATACGCGGCGAGCTGAAAGACATTCGCACTCTGATGCTGCGAATTGAAAACCGGCTTCGTGTATCGGATGAGATCCACCAGACTCTGGCTGCTACTGTCAAGAATCTTCTCGAAATTGTGCACCAGCCGAGCTGGTGCAACGAGAAAACCATGGAAGTAAGTGTCAGTTATTTGCTTATTGTTTTGTCTGGCTTATGAGACATGTTCTAAACTCTCGTTCTTTTCGCAGGATGCCTGTAAGAAGGCGTGCGATGATTTGCTCAAGGGATCAGATGTCTCCCAGCGAGTCATTTACCCTGACGAAGAGCAGTTCAAGGCAGCCGTTGTGGTTCATCTCGCTCTGGAGCCCGAAGACTTCGGGAAGTTTAATGACTACTGGAAGAAGGGCGAGTGGGCGAAGAGGTGCACCGGCATTTGTAACGGCCGGCGGGGGAAACTCGGGAACAAGTCCCGGAAGGCGAGTTTCAAGCTGCTGAAGTACCCTGATGGCAGAGTCGTTCAAAACTCCGTTGAGGATCGGCGCAATTATGCTCGAGCCTGTGTCTCTGGTACGTGAGTTATATTATTGCTGTTGCTCTTGTTATGACTTGTTTGTGACTCTTGTGTTTTTAATTTCAGAGGAGTTTGGCCTGCCGTGGCATGTTGACGAGAACAAGCCGTTCTGTAGCGAGGCGTTCTTAGCTGCTGCAAGCAAGTGGCAGAAGAAAGAGGGGGGTGTCTACACCCTAAGCATTGACCAGCTGTGCTACACCATGGTCGCGGTGAGCGAACAAGCATTTTTAATGCTTTATCTTGTCGTTTTCAACCGGCTAATTTCGCTCTTTTCTTGACAGGTCGGGTTTGAGATGCTATGTCGTGATCGAAGCAGCATGTTTTCTGATTCCGAGAACAACACCCGCGAAATGACCAAGAGGAAGTTTCAGGTTGAGAGCTGGGTCCGTCACGCTAGCATTCCACTAGTCAGTGGGTTCTACTATTTTGGAGATGTCATTGTTAAGGATTGGCAGATGGTAGAGGATGTTTAGTAGCTTTATGTAGCTGTAGGTTTAGTATGTGATATTTTGTTGATTAATTTCTAACCAACTAGTATTGTAAGCGTTTAATATTATTCAATTATTATTACGGAATTGTTTTGATTTGTTGATAATAAACCCATTCGAAATTCTATTGATCATAATATTAGCAGTGTAGTTATCTCAATTAAATGTCGCCTTGTCACATCTCCAAAAGGAACAAATATCCACTAAACTATTCTTTATCGCTTTTATACATACGCATATTGTTATCACGCGGTAACCATCTTTAACAATTTTGTTACGCGAGTGGTTACAACTGAGCTTGTCAATTCTCGCCTGTGCGAGGGCCTCCTTTTCATTTCCGAAAGTAACAAACTAGATTACTCGCCCCAACTGACATGCAATGCGCAACTTACACATTTCAATCGCCTCGCAGGTTGGTTTCGGCAGTGCGCAGGTTGACTGCAGGGTGGTTCTGTTGCCCCACAATTACCCCCCAGTATTGAAAGCCGATTGACAGGACTCCCGAAAACGGGAGTCACCAGGAAGGCTTCCAGCTTATTGCTGGAAGCCACATTTCTTCGTGCGATGCAGAGACTTTGCGATGATGGACCGGCGAGGAGAGTGGCGATAGTGCGGATTGCTAGTGGCGGTTGAACGATGAGTGGAGGAAAGGAGCGCCCCGAAGAGCGAACGATGATCATCTAGCCATGGGTGGGACGGAAGCTATGCGGAAATCTGTGCCTGCTAGGCATATGTGCGGAGCCGAATCCCAAAGGCTGGTGGAATTGCGGAGCGGATGGAAGGTGCTGGCAATTGTGTATGTGTAGGGGAAAGTGCTTGGGGTAACTGTACACTTGTTGGGCTGGCGAAACTGGCCCAGGTACAACGATTTGATGGTTTCCTCGCGTAACAATTCGCGCATGTGCGCGTCTTCCTTCTTTGGCCTGCACGAAAATGTTTGCGGAAACTCTGTTGCGTTCAGGTAGGCCAACGACGAGTTTCTAATGTCGCAGCACAGAACTGGCCGCTTCAGAAGTTTTCGCCTCCGCTTTCGCGTTCGCATCCCGGATCTCGCGCAGCCGATACTTTCGCGAAACTTGCTTGTATGAGACGATAAGGGCGTATTTCGGGTTTGGGGCATGGGCACTGTTCCGGGCATGCGCCATTTGCGGATGCCCAGAACAACACGCAACACCAACCTCGAGGCATGCGCCCCATGCGACAGTTCGTTTGGGCGCCAAAATCCGCGCCAAACAAAATACTGGTAACACACGTCGCGGCCAATACGGCCGAGTCGTACATGTACCCCCACGAACAGCCATCAGCCGAGAGTCCGTCTGACCCCACCCCAGCCACCGTCAAAATTCCCGTCGGGAAAGGTCACATTCAGATCTGCGCGGCTCCACATTCCCAGCCAAACCCACCATCCCAACAGCGTCCTTCCCACACCAGGGTTGTTGCATCCCACAAAAACACAAGCGCAACAAACTTCCAGATCTGCATGACACAGTTTCAACCGACGAACACCAACAGCCTCATCACCCAGATCTGTCAAGCACAGAACGTGCAGCCATGCCGCCACGCCGTAGCACCCGTAGCAAGGGAAAGGAGACAGCATCCGACGATGAGCCTATGGCGGACCCTCCTTACGTCGTGTGGTTAAAGGAGCAGAAGAAACAGGGGAAGTCGCCCCCCTCCATCAAACGCATATCCAAGACCAAACGGGACTCTGCGGCCGCATCCACCAGCGGCGCGTCACGGCTTGCTTACGAGGATGGCGCCGATACCGACGTCAGCGATGACGACCTCGAGGAGATCGTCTCGGAATCGGAAAGCGATGACGACTCCGGTAACGACAAGGACACAACGGACGACGAGGAGGGAGAGTCCGACGGCGAAGGGAGTCGCCACGATCGCAGCACACGAGCGTCGAAGAAGGAGAAACGACCTAAACCGTCAAGCAACAAGAGGAAGTGGTCAGATGCGGAGCTGACGACCCTCGCCGCCGCCAAGTGGACTACGAAGGACGATCTCAAAGCGATGCAGGGCAAGCAGGGCAGCCAGTATTGGAGGAAGCTGCACGCCCACATCGTCGAGGGGGAACCGGGGTGGAACCGCGACGAGGGGCAGATGTCTAATGCGTGGAAACGCCTCGAGAAGCTTTACTTCAAAACGAAGCGGGGAGAATCGGCAAGCGGAGGCAAAGCCGTGAAGAAGAAGCCCTGGTGGGAGTACGTGTACAACTTGAAAAAACACTCGGCCAAAGCTAAGCCCCACGCCTTGGACGGCGGTGGCGCCGCCAGCGTTGACGTCGCGGCGTACGCAACTGTCCCCGGCTCCAACGACCGGGAGACTTTGGTTCCGCCGGCCCAGGCGCAACAGCGTGGAACACGCCGCCAAACACCAGACATCGGTCAGTGCTCTGATTTCATGTATGCGCCTACTGATTAGGTTATATCTTACCAATGCGACAAATGTGCTAATACTCGAGCGGTTTAGTGTGTCTCTTATACAACACACTCATTTAAACGTCAAGTTTCCAATGTTCCAAAACATTGACAGACAAGGGAGGTACAGGCAAACAACGACATGAAAGGCCGCCTTATGACCGACACACCCTACTCCCACCCCTACAGAAACGGCAATCACCCCTCCACCGAAACGACGGCGGGTACAGGATACTGCGACAATGGCGGCAGCTAGGTTGGTGACCGACGCGATCAACTCCACCAACGTGAACGTGGTGCGCCAGCTCCAGGATTCAACGCAGGTCCTTGTCGCCGCGATGAACATGGCGGCGCTGCAGGCAGGCTTGCGCCTGCAGATGGTCGCCCAGCAAGCTCCTCAAGATGCGCCAGCCACCACCCCACCTCCGCCGCCGACAGCGGAGGAAGGAGACGCAACCATGGCCGGGTCAGATGAGGCGGGCGAGCAGCCAGCGCCTTAGCGCTGCCTCTTGGGCATTCGGCGACGCCTAAGGTAAGCCCTGTGGATATGCTTGCCGAAGTGGCGGCGCCTGACGCGCAGCTCGGTAAGAGTCGGGTTGTCCAGGCTCTCCCATTGGTAGCGATCCATGCCGCTTCTTGTCCACCAGCCATTTGGTAGCCCCGCCCAAATGAAGCGGCGGGGATTGAACGTCCTCATCCTTGGGGTGCTGACCACCTGCAGCATGTTGTGCAGGATGATGATGCAGGCGGTCCCGCCACACACGCGCCAGAGCTTGCTCTCGTGCCGGCGTGAGAAGAGCCTCCATCGACCCTTGAGTGCTCCGATCGTGCGCTCAACCACCATCCGCGTCGCCGATTGGACGTAGTTGAAGGTGTTCTCCCACTTCTTCATTAGGCGGCGGCGGGGAGCATGGAGGGGGGTTAGCATGTAGCTTTTCAGAGGATATGCCGCGTCCCCAACCAGCTGATAGGGGGCGATTTCGCCGCTCTCTAGCCTGCCATGTAGCTCAGAGGTAGAGAAAACACCTTGATCATGCATAGACCCGGGGTTGCCCACTGTGTAGTCCCAGATGATCCCTTTCGAGTCACAAGTGACCTGTAGCTGTACACTGTATACAGATTTGCGGTTGTAGTAGTCGCTGCGGTGAGCATTCAGACCGCGTATCTCGATTTGTGTGCCGTCGATTGCTCCAATGACGTTCGGCACGCCCTTGATGGCGCGGAAGTCCAGCGCCATCTCCTCACGCAACTCTTCAGAAGGGAATTGAACCCAGTCACGCTTGAACTTGCGGGGGAACCACACCAAAAAGCAGTCCACAATGCGATGAATGAGACCCTTGGGCAAACCGAACATGAAACTCATGTCGTGATATGTCATGGCACTTGCAAAGTACTTGATGGGAATCAGGCAACAGAGAGATAACGGGACGTTGTTGTACTCGACGAAACGGGACATGGGGTGCGCCATCTTCTCCGCGATGAGGTCGAGCACCTCCCGCGTGATCCGGAAGGTGTCCTCGAACTCCTCGTCAAACATAGCGCGAATTTCCTCCACCCACTCCGCCACACGTGCCTCTCGACGGCGCTGGCGGCTTTCGCGGCGCGCAGTCGCACGTCGCTGGCGCTCCTCATCCTCGGCTTGGGCCATCGGTAGGATAGTGGTTATCCACTCTAGTGCGGCGAGGGATACTACACGCTGCCAGGTGTTGAGCACGTACTCATGCCAGAGGTGCAATGCTACACATAGAATGAGTACCTGTGGGGTAAGCATGTTTTATGGCCACAGCGGCTTTGGCCGACTGGCTTCCTGGCGGCCCTTTAGAGATGGTTCAGTACGGTGTCTTGCCTGCATCCTTGCTGGCGGAGCTGGCGACACGGGCGTGGTGGTGGCTGTGCTTGTTAGCAGGGCGGTTTGTGTGTCTTTGCATGTAGTGTGCTGGTCTGGCTTCTGGATGTTGTGATTGTTACGAGGATTAAGTTGTTTTACAAGGGTGTGGTGTACACGCCACATTGACGGGCGTGCACATCGCGCCGAACGGCCGATTTACAGAGGTTGCTCTACATGGGGTCGCGCAGCTCTGTGATTGGTGCGCTCCACCTTTTGTTTGACGGTCGCATGCAATGTTGAGCATGACCCGAAGTTCGAGTCGCGCGCGCTTTGGTGCTTGGGTTTGGGTCATGCGGTTGTTGCGGATGCCCTGTACAGTGCCTGAACAGTGCTCATGCCCCAAACCCGAAATACGCCCTAAGTTTCTTGAACGAGACGATCGGTTGGTAGCCACGGGACTTCTGATACAGTATGAGCTTCTAGGAAGCACTAGTCTAGGTCGAGGCGCGTTTCTTGCGAAGCCTGAACCATGCTCCGTCATAAACATTATAATCGCTGAAATGGGTAATTACGGGTACTTCAATAGCGAGTACGTGGTTAACGGTTCGCGGTTCCCATTTCGTGCGTGGTTCTTGCTTCTTTTGCTTGTCCCAGCTTTCCTCCTGGTTTCAGTTTTAGGGTTACCTGACCGAGTAACAGACGTAAGGACGAATGTAATCACTCAAGATAACGACAATGACGAGGTCAGACCTAGGGTTCCTGCACGCAGTTTACCCCGTCGCAACTGGCTGAATGTTGACCATGCACCGTCCCTAACCCATAGTACTGTTCTGCGCTCGAATTACATTGTTTCCACGAAAACGAGCGAAAACAGGTTATCCGAGGGTGGGGATCGTCGTCTTGGCGTGACGACCGCCGTCGCGAATACAGACACGGATGGATTGCGAGGAGGAGATTTAGGTGACCGTGAGGGTCACTACCATCGCCGTAGTACCACGGCTGCGCCTGCGGCTGCTGCTGCGACTTCTTCTGCGACTGCTTCTGCGACTGCTGCTGCGATTGCTGCTGCGAATGTTGCTGCGGCTTCTGTTGAGCTATCGGAGAGCCGCCGGTGGTTGCGTGGAGAAGCAGAGAGAGAGTCTGCTGGTTCAAGCGATGTGAGCGACGCTGTTTCAGGCACTGTTGATGTGAGCGACGCTGTTTCAGGCACTGTTGATGTGAGCGACGCTGTTTCAGGCACTGTTGATGTGAGCGACGCTGTTACAGGCACTGTTGATGTGAGCGACGCCGTTACAGGCACTGTTGATGTGAGCGACGCCGTTACAGGCACTGTTGATGTGAGCCGTGCTGCAACTGGAGCTGCTGCGACTGCTGCTGCGTCTGCTGCTGCGACTGCTGCTGCGACTGCTGCTGCGACTGCTGCTGCGACTGCTGCTGCGTCTGCTGCTGCGACTGCTGCTGGGACTGCTGCTGCGACTGCTGCTGCGACTGCTGCTTCGACTGCTGCTGCGTCTGCTGCTGCGACTGCTGCTGCGTCTGCTGCTGCGGAGAGTCGTCGGTGGTTGCGCAGAGAACCAGATACGGGCACTGATGTGAGCGGTGCTGCAGCGGCTTCTGTTGAGCCCTTAAAGAGTCGTCGGTGGTTGCAGGGAGAACCCGATACAGGCACTGCTGCTGCTGCCGTCGGGGATGGGGACGGGGATGGGGACGGGGATGGGGACGGGGATGGGGACGGGGATGGGGACGGGGATGGCGATGGGGATGGGGATGGCGATAGGGATGGGGATGGGGATGGGGATGGGGATGGGGATGGGGATGGGGATGGGGATGGGGATGGGGATGGCGATGGCGATGGCGATGGGGATGGGGATGGGGATGGGGATGGGGATGGGGATGGGGATGGGGATGGGGATGGCGATGGGGATGGGGATGGGGATGGGGATGGGGATGGGGTTGGAGATGGGGATGGGAATGGGAATGGGGATGAGGAGAGCGAGAATGGAGGCGTCAACGTGGAGGATGATGGGAGTGGTGATGGGGACGACTCAAGTGACGTGTCTGACGGAGATGGGCAGGGCAATGAGACGGGATATGGGGAAGGAGGTGGGATGGGAGATGGGGAAGGAGGTGGGATGGGAGATGGGGAAGGAGGTGGGATGGGAGATGAGAAGGAGGAGGAGAATGGAGGAAACTGTCAAGGCAGTGGGAATTATTCTTCAGGAAGTAGTTATATGGTAGGTAATGAGGAGGGTATGGGCAGGAGTGGTAGTGGGGAAGGCAATGAGGAAAGTAAGGAAGGGGATAGTGATGGGGAAGACAGTGAGGAGGAAGGAGGGAGTAGCATTGATGGGCAAGACCACGAGGATTCGAAAGGGAGTGATAATGGGGAAGACAATGGGGAGGATAAGGAAGAGAGTGATAATGGGGATCATGATGAGGAGGACAAGGACAAGGGATGGAGTAGTGATGCGCAAGACAGTGTGGAGGGATTAAGTAGCACAGATGGGCGAGATAATGAGGATTCGGAAGGGAGTGATAATGGGGAAGGTGACAAGGAGGATAAGGCAGCAGAAAAAGCAAGGAGGAAGGAGGAGAAGAAGAAACGGGCAGAAGAGAAGGCAAGGAGGAAGGAGGAGAAAAAGAAACGGGCAGAAGAGAAGGCAAGGAGGAAAAGGGAGAAAGAGAAACGAAAGGCAGAGAAGGCAAAGAGAAAGGAGGAGAAGAAGAGAAGGGAAGCTGAGAAGGAAGCAGAGCAGCAGGAAGGAGAGGAGAAAGTGGAGAGAGGGGAGCAGCAGGGGGACGGGGAAACTCAGCAAGAGGACAAGCATCTCTTGGAAGAGGAGATGAGTTCAGAGTCGGGCAACTCAGAGACACAAGGGCAGGCAGGGGAGGAGGTGAAGGAGGAGGGAGAGTTAGGAGAAGATGCAAGTGCGAGGAAAGACGAGGATGAAGGAGAGATGCCGGAGGGGAATGGGGAGGGAACGCAAGGTGAGAATTCTGGTGACCCAGGGACTGGTAATGGTGGTGCAAGTGGCGGTGTCGATCCTGCAGAGAGAGAGAAAGCTCAGGAGGAGGAAGGGAAGTTGCCAGAGGGGAGTGAGAAGGGAACGGAGGGCGAGGATTCTAGTGACCTAGGGACTGGTGATGGTGGTGCAAGTGGTGGTGTCGATCCTGCAGAGAGTGAGGAAACTAATAAAGGTGATGGCAGTGGGGCTGATGGTGGGAGTGGTGAGGTTCAGAACGGTGAGGGTGACAGTAGTGCAGGGGAGGGCGGAGGTGAAGAGCATGATGAGTGGCAGAAGTCTGCCCCTGTTGCTTCAGGCAGTGGCAGTGACCAAAGCAGTGGCGCAGCGGCTGTTGGAGAAGATTCGGGAGGTGGTGTGAGTGATTCTGGTGAACCCAGCAGGGAGGGTGAGAATAATGAGGGAAAGGGGAATGAGGAGGTGGGGGGTGGATCAGGTGGAGAGGGAGAGGGCAGTAAGAACGAGGAAAGTCGAGGGCAAGGAGTTTCAGAGGTGGAGGGAGGAGAGGAGAGCTGGATGGTTGGTTGGGGAGGGAATAAGGATGCTGGTTGGTTGGAGGAGTCTGGAGAGACTGATGTGACGGATATCCGTGTCGCTCCACAGTTCAGAAGTAACCTCAAATCGACTGATGCTAACACACTGACAGGCGTCTCAAAGCTGCTGAAGGAAGAGAAACAGTTGCCGTAAGGGGAGATCCATAGTAATCCAATCTTTTGGGTTTATTCCTAGTTGTACCGTACGAGAGATCTTCTTGTGTAATGCGGAAGCTTGTAGCGCTGTAGATTGTGAAAGCCCAGTAATAAGTGTCAAATGTTGTAGCCTGTAGTGAGGTTTGTCTTAGGGGGTACAGATGTTAGGGTTTGTTATATGTACCCCAACCCACATCAATGAACCAACACTTTCATTCTTGACATGGTATCACCTAGGTTATGATTCTGTGGGATCCCGTTCCTCTCGTTCACGTCTGTAGCGCCTGAGCCTGTCCCGTACCCTAGTGCTCGTTACGCTCATACTGTCCCCTAGCGCTATCGCGCCTGCCGTTACGTCGCTCTCGTGCCCTAGCACCCGCTGAGCTGTCCGTCCGCGTCGCGCCGTCCGTCCCGTCCCGTCCGTCCGCTTCACGCTGCCCGTCTGCGTCGCGCCTTTAGTCCCGTCCCGTCCGTCCGCGTCGCGCTGCATGTCTGCGTCGCGCCATTCGTCCCGTCCCGTCCCGTCCGTCCGTCCCGTCCCGTCCCATCCCGTCCGTCCCGTCCCGTCCCATCCCGTCCGTCCCGTCCCGTCCGTCCCGTCCCGTCCCGTCCGTCCGTCCGTCCCGTCCTGTCCGTCCCGTCCCGTCCGTCCGTCCCGTCCCGTCCGTCCCGTCCCGTCCCGTCCGTCCCGTCCCGTCCGTCCGCGTCGCGCTGCCCGTCCGTCCCGTCCCTTCGCGTCGCGTTGCGCTGACCGTCCGCGTCGCGCAGTCCGTCCCGTCCCGTCGCGTCGCATCGTGTCGCGCTGCCCGTCCTGTCCCGCTGCGTCGCGTCGCGCTACCCCTACCCGTGGCGCTGCGCCCTCCTAGTCCAGCAATGTTGCGCCCTACTCTGTGTCCCGTAGCGCCCTACCCTATGTCCCGTAGCGCCCTACTGAGTCGCTCTCAGTGATTAGGGTTTCGGCAGCAGCACTTCCCACCTCTTTGCTTTTGCTATGGCGACCCCTAGGGTTCTTCGTTTTGACGCTGACGGTAGACCGCTCGAGTTTCCGGTCTAACTCGTATGCGCGCGTCGCCTTCTGAAGAGTCAGGTCCAGGCGGGCGAGTCCCTATGGGCGCACGCTACAGGTGACCTTCCTGCGCCCGACGACCCTACGGCTTTAGGCCCTGCCCCTGACGACGCCGCCTGAGACCGCTTTACCCGCCAGCGTGCTGACCTGACGGCGTGGAAGTCGCGTGACGCTGCGGCCTGCATCGCTCTTACCAGCCTCCTCCCTGCGTCTGAGGAGGCCCACTTCACTCAGGCTCGCACTGCTAATAAGTTCCTGACTGCGATCAAGGCCCGCTATGCTACTTCCACCACTGTCTTCCTCGTTTGAGCGCTCTGCTGACTTGATCGCTCACCTCCGCTCGCTCGATTTTAGCTACCCCGCTGCTTGCACTGACGCACAACTTGCACTGCTTCCCCCTCCTATGGCGATTACTAACTATTTCATTGCCACTAGCCTCCCTGACCACCTTGCCTCGGTTCGTGACACACTTCTTCTGAAGCACCCTAGTGAGCTCACTATCGAGGTCCTTGAGTCTGCGCTCAAGGACGTCGAGAGCAACCTCCGCTCCGTAGCCTCCGCCTCTAGTGCTGTGCCCCCTCCACTGTTTTACGGGTGCACTGTCCCTCAGCTGCCCACTTTTACTGCCTCGCTAGCCATTACCACTACTGACGTGACCGCAAGTGCTGTTACGACTACGTCGCGGTCTCGAGGTAGGGGTGGCAGGAGGGGCGGTCAGGGTGCAGGCGGCGGCGGCGGTGGCGGCGTTGGCGACAGAGGTGGTGGGGGTGGCGTGCCGACCGGTGGCGGCGGGAGCGCAGGGCTTGGAGAGGCGTCTCATGCAGCGGCCAGTGACTCCCCTACTGCAGCTGGTGGAGGCGACACCCGAACTCGTCAGCCTCCTCCTGGTCTGCCGCCCGCGGTGGGTGGAGCAGCGGCGTGGTACCGGGCCCAGCGGCAGCAGCAGGTGCAGCAGCAGCAGCCCCTCCCCTTGCAGCAGCCCCCACAGCAGCAGCGGCAGCAGCAGGTTTCGGGGCTGGGACAGCGCCCGCCCCAGCGAGGTGTTGTTCACCCTTCGTGCACCTATCAGGTTCTGACAGGTGCTCGCCGAGGCCAGCCTTGTGGTCGCACCCACCCTCCTGGTCAGTGCTTTCCTCAGCTCACTAACACGGTTCGCTTGGCCTTCGGCGTTGGCGGCCTTGCCCCTGACTGGTTACCTCTTGTTCAGACGTACGGCTCCGCTCTTTGGGGCATGTCTGCTTCTGACTTGCTTGATCTCTTAGGCACTCCTCATGCTATGTATTCTATTGTTGATTCTAGTGCTTTTAACTCTGTTTACTCGTGTGTTGTTAGCTTAGGTGCTAGTCTTGCTGAGTTGCAGTTGCTAGTGTAGGCACTTGTGTAGACACTAGTCCAGGCGCTACTTCGGAGGACGCTTTGCTGTCTTTCACTCTGGACTCTGGGGCTTCGCACTGCTTCTTCTGCGACCACACGACACTTACTCCACTTCCTGCGCCAGTCTCTGTGGCCCTGGCTGATCCCACCTCGGGACCAGTCACTGCTCGCTACACTACTAATCTTCCTTGCCCTACTGTTCCCTCTGGGTCTCTGACTGGCTTCCACGTCCCCTCGTTCTCGAGGAACTTGGTGGGCGTGAGGCCTCTTGTGAGTCAGCACGTGGGTGTGTGGATTGAGCCCTCTGTTGAGACGGCGGTTTGTGTTGACGGCGACACTAACTCGCCTCTTGCCACCTTTACTGCCGAGCCGGGCTCTGGTCTCTACATACTTCACACTGGCCCTAGTGGGCAGCAGCAGCAGTAGCAGCAGCAACTCTTGCCCTCGGCCCCAGTTACTTCCCCCAGTCTGGTCCCTGCGTCTCACCAGGTTGTTGCGTCCCCCCAGGTAGCTGTGTCTGGTCAGGTTCCCGTGTTTGGTCCAGTTGCTGCGTCGTGCTCCTGCCAGTCGCTTACACACCCCACCATTCTGTGGAACCACCGGACGGGGCACCTGTCCCTCCCTCGTCTGCGCGCTATGTCTCGTCAGCATCTTGTCTTAGGCCTCCCGCGTATCTTGCCGTCGCTGCCGCCTTCGCTTGCACCGCCGTGCGGTCCCTGCGTCGAGGGTCGGCTGCGCGCCACCCCTCACTCCTCCTCCCTTCGTCCGGCCATCGAGCCTTTTGAGATGCTCCACTTGGACGTCTGGGGCCCCGCCCCTCGCCTTGGCCCTGAGCGTGAGCGTTTCTTTTTGGTGGTCATTGACGACTACTCCCGCTACACCACAGTGTTGCCCCTGGCGAAGAAGTCTGAGGTGACTTCTACGCTGATCAGGTGGCTGCTTACCACTGAGGGCACTCGTGGTCGTCGTGTCAGCTGTCTTCACTCTGACCGTGGGGGTGAGTTTCGCTTCGGCATTCTCGTTGGATTCTGTCGCGATTACGGCATTCGTCAGTCATGGACGCTTCCGGAGTCCCCACAGGAGAATGGGGTTGCTGAGCGCTGCATAGGCTTGGTCATGGAGATCGCCCGCACCTCCTTGACTCACGCCCGTGCCCCCCATTTTCTGTGGCCCTACGCGGTTAGGTACGCCGCTCACCAGCTGAACCTCTGGCCACGCGTCTCTCGGCCAGAGGCTTCACCGACCAGTCTTTGGACCGGGTCCCCTGGTGTTGCGTCAAGGTTTCGTGTCTGGGGTTGCTTGGCTCTTGTCCGCGACACTTCCGCGGACAAGCTCTTGCCTCGTGCCGTTCCTTGTGTCTTCCTTGGTTTCCCTGAGGACTCCTCTGACTTCACCTTTTACCACCCTCCCTCTCACCGTTTCTTTGACTCCCGTGACGTCCGTTTCGGGGAGTCCACCCCCTACTACGTCAGGTACCCCAGACGAGGTCTCCCAGTTCCTCCTCCCCCTCTCTTCCTGACTTCCGCTCCCCCTCCTACTCCCCCGGTACAGCCTCCCCCCCCTGGTCCCGCCCCGTTAGGTGTGTCCCAGGCTACCCCTCCCCCTTTGGTAGCCCCTCAAGTGCAGCCTCCTTCCCCACAGTCCTCCTCGCAACCTGGTGCAGACCCTGCGAGAGCCGGTGCTCGTGGAGAGGGCCCTACAGGTGCTAGCTCTAGGGGTGTTGGAGTTGGAGCTGAGCCTGTGGTTGCAGGAGACTCTTCTCTTCCGGGAGCTAGTGTTGGTCCTGCTGACTTTGGGGGTGCTACGTCTGGGGGTGCGGTTGCACCCTCTTCGGGTCCTGGTGAGCCTGGTCGTGTTGCTGTTGGTGGAGCTGACTCTGGGAGTGGTGCCCCAGGTGCTTTGGAGGGCGGTCCCGGGGCTGCCGCAGCCCCCGACACTACTCCTCCCCCCCACCCCTACCCGACCCGGCACCAGGCTCGTGTTCGCCGTGCCCGTGAGGAGCAGCTGGAGTTGGAGAGAGAGGAGAGAGAGTTGCAGTGGCTGGAGGAGCAGCAGCAGCAGCAGCAGCAGCAGGAGCAGCTGCAGCTGGAGCCGCTACAGCAGCAGGAGGAGCAGCAACAGCAGCAGCCGCCGCCTCCTCCTCCTATCTGCGGTATTCGGGCCCTCGGTCTCCCCTCCCGCTCTCCTTCCTCCTCCCCCTCTCTTCCCATCTCGGGTCCTCCGTTTCCTCCCCCTGACCCCTCCCCGGCTGTTTTCCCTCGTTCTCAGCCTCCGTTGTCCCCTCCTCCTCAGACTTGGGCCTCTCCTCCCTCCCCTCGTGCTCGTCCCTCGTCTCCTGTTCTTGTTACTGACCTTCGTACTGCCCTCTTTCGTTCTAGTCCGCCTCGTTCGTCTCCGTCTCTCCTTCCGTCTCCTCCTGAGCCGGCCTTGACTGCTTCTCTCTCTACTCCTGCCACTGACTACTACCGCACGTACCGTCCTGTTCTCTCTCGTGTTCTCGCCTCTCTTGTTACCGAACCTCGTGCCTCTGTCTCCTCTGTCTCCGCCCTTACTGCCACAGTCACTGAGTTTGCCTCCACTCGCTGCCTTGACTACCCCACCGGTCTTGTGGCTGCTCCTCCTACCAGTCCTCTGGCCGTCGGGGGTGAGTCTGCCCTTGGCTGTGACGCCCTAGAGGACAGGCAATTTGAGCTAGAGCTCCTTGCAGCCGCTTCCCCACATCTCCGTGCCATGCTGCTCGCCCCTGAGGGAGACCCCGACGCCCTTGACATACAGACTCCTCGCACTTACGCTGAGGTAGTGTCAGGGCCTTGGGCCTCTCGGTGGAGAGCTGCCATGGACGCAGAGATGGCCTTCTACAAATCCACAGGCACCTACGTCGACGAGGTTCCCCCCCCTGGGGTGAAAGTAGTCGATGGCATGTGGATCTTCACAGTGAAGCGGCCACCGGGATCTCCTTCAGTATTCAAGGCGCGCTACGTGGCAAAATGTTTCAATAAGTGCGAAGGAGTTGACTTCTTTTAGACCTTCGCGCCTACCCCGAAGATGACCACTCTTCGGGTGTTACTGCACGTAGCAGCACAGAGAGACTACAAGTTACACTCTCTCGACTTCTCCACTTCTTTCCTTCAAGGTAGCTTACACGAGGAGGTCTGGCTGCGTCGTCCCTCTGCCTTCACTGACACTTTCCCTCCTGGGAACCAGTGGAGGCTGAGGCGACCTGTCTACGGTCTTCGTCAGGCTCCTCGTGAGTGGCACGACACTCTTCGTTCTACCCTCTCTGACCTTGGGTTCCAGCTGTCTTCTGCCGACCCGTCGCTGCTCGTTCGTCCTGGCTCCACACCGTTCTTTGTTCTGGTCTACGTCGAGGACCTGGTTTTCGCCACTGCTGACAGGGTTGCCTTGGCAGACGTGAAGTCTAAACTGTAGAAGAGACACACGTGCACTGACCTTGGTGAGTTGCGCCACTACCTTGGCCTGCAGATCACCAGGGACAGAGCTGCTCGCACCATTACACTCTCACAGTCACACATGGTGCAGCAGGTCCTTCAGCGGTTCAAGCTTCAGCACTCCACAGTACAGCGCACACCTCTTGCTGTTGACCACAGACTTACTGGACCCTCCCCTGACGAGCCGTTTGAGTCTAGTGGTCCCTGCTCCGAGCTGGTGGGCTGCCTCATGTACCTGATGACTTGCCCTCGCCCGGACCTCGCCTTCCCTCTCAGCATTCTTGCTCGCTTTGTTGCGCCAGGGAGACACCGTCCTGTTCACTGGACGGCAGCTGTGAGGGTGGCGAAGCAACGACATCAGGCGTGGGGCTAGTTCTTGGAGGGCAGCAGCCTGTCGTACTTACTGGTCACTGTGACTCTTCTTACGCTGACGATGCTGAGACTCATAGGTCTACTCTGGGGTACTGTTTCACCTTGGGTTCTGGAGCTGTTTCGTGGCGGTCCACGCGCTCCTCTTCGGTCTCGACCTCTACAGCTGAGGCTGAGATCTACGCTGGTGCCATGGCAGCACAAGAGCTGCGTTGGTTGACCTTCTTGCTCGCCGACCTTGGTGAGCGGCCGAGCTGTGCACCGACCTTGTTCACTAACAACAAGGCGTCGATTCTCCTTTGTCGAGAGCCGCGTCTGGAGAGTAGAGTGAAGCACATCAACGTCAGGTACTTTCTTCTGCGAGAGTTGCAGAGACGTGGACAGGCTCGCTTCGAGTTTGTGGAGTCCGAGGCCAACACTGCAGACATCTTCACCAAGGCGCTTCCGCCTTGTGACCACTAGAGGTGTTGTGTGCAGTTAGGCCTTGTTGACACAGTTTCTAGTCGTGTATAGGCTTGAGTCTACTGTTTGCTTTGCTTGTACTCTTGCTGTACACACTTGTGAACTTTCGAACTGGCCTTGTGGCCCCTGTTGCTTGTGCTCAGAGTATATGGTGACGTTGTGATCCACCCTGAGCTTTGTTTCTTTGTGACCGGTCTTGTGACCGTACACCTTTGGTTTTGCTTGACACCCCTCACTTAGGCTATGGGGGTGTGCCAAATGTTATAGCCTGTAGTGAGGTTTGTCTTAGGGGGTACAGATGTTAGGGTTTGTTATATGTACCCCAACCCACATCAATGAGCCAACACTTTTATTCTTGACAATAAGGACGTGGGCCCAATCGACTTTGATCGGCGTGATCAGAGGCGATCAAAATCTTCGAGGAACGCGGGAAGCCAATTTCAGGCAATCGAGGGCAATCAGCTGATCGCGATCAGCTAATCGCGCCAACTCGATCTACCGCCTCAAACAGTCCGATCAGACCCGATCAGACACAATCAGCCCCGATCACTTGATTGCATGTCATCAGGGACCTGGGCGATGTACGCGAAATGTAACACATATCGCCATGAATTCTACAAAAATCTTTGAGAATACATACAGATTGGCGAGAACTGTATGCCATAGCCATCGTTTCGCCACCTAATCAAAATTCAGTTTGAGTTGCTTCTATTCCTCAACCCGCGGAATCTGTACTCCAGCTTGAGATACTGTGTTGGCTACATTACCACAAAAACTGTGATTCGCCAGTCTCGCCAAAGTTGGGATGCAACTACCAAGTAATGGGCCGACATTTTTCATGCAAGAGCGCAAAACATTCGAGGAAAATCATCTCTGATCGCGCGGAGCGAGAAAAAAGATCACAAGCAATCCGATCCGACCCAAACCGATCCGATACGAGCAGATCAAAGTCGATTGGGCCCACATCCTGATGAGCGGGTGGTGATTCCTCTGTTTGGTCGACAGCCAATCACTTGCGAGCATCGCTTCGCGGTGCGAAACCGGAATTTTCCAAATCCTACAAATGCAGCCAGGGAGAAGGGGTCAGGTGCTTTGCTCCACACTCCCCTTCCCCCAGGAGGAGTGACAGCCATGGGGAAGGGGTGGAAGCTACATCCACTTGCAAAACAGAGTAGCTTTGATGACTGGTAGGCTGGAAACTTGGCTGGAAAATCTCAACAGAGCTGCTGGACTTGGCTTGATGAGAGAAAACTTCACTATGATCAAGATTAACAAGCCCACTAAAGCACAACTTCTTAAGCATTACAAACATGCAGATTGATAGCTCAAACTAGGCTGCTGGACAAGGCAACTTTCTTGAGAACTTGGGCACAATTCAGATTCCATGAACCTTGAGTGACTTGAGAGCCACATGAGGTGCATGAATAAGAAATATCTGGAATGTACTGTTATAGCTGATTCTGTTTTGTAGAAACCTGTAGAAACTGTCGACCCTTCTGTTTGAGAGCAATCCCGAACTGTATCGAGTCTTCGGCTGCAATCTGATTTGCTGCGGAAGTTTCTTAATTTTCGCGAAGCCTTCAATCCGTCGCCGACATTCTTGCTGCTCCTTGTGTGCAAAGGGCTGGGGCGGCAGAGACTCGATTCTCCAACACATCCATCCACCTTGCCGTGTGGTGTGGGGGAGGGCGTAACTCTAAGCCTGCCCGAGCAGACGCTCGGCACTTTGTTTTGGGCAGCTCTCTGCATTTCCGTCCAATTGCTTTGGGTTAGTAGATCCTTCCACGTTGGCAAAATCCAATTCATTGGTCAGCGAAAATCTTTTCAGGGCTGACCACGCTGAATATACGGAGGAGAACAAGACATTTCAACGTGACCGACGGGACGGCTCGTCGTGTCACTCAACACTCCAACCCTCCCATTAGACGTCGCAACGTGTCTTGCTGCTCACGCTGAGCAGATTTACGAGGACGTCACAATTGTGTGCTAAACTGTGAATCACAGCCAGTCCAGCAGCATTAGATTCCCTGAGCGTCAGTGCTTGCCCGCATATCTAAACTTACGCCAGCTCCGCCGCGAGCTTCGTAAGCCAAGCCAGCTAGACGCATTCGGCGCGCAATGGCTCGCAGGGTTCCGTCGATGGCGCCCGGTGTCTTCGCGGTAGTAATGCTCGTGGCCTTAGTCGGAGCGCATCTCGCGCCGAGCGCAGCGGCGGAGGCAGCTGCTGCGCCGTGCATCGCGTCGGCGGTCGCGGGTTACAACGTCGCAGTGTCTCTCGGCGACAGGTGAGCTCAGCTGGGGACACGTCGCAGTGTCTCTCAGCTCGCCGCGATGCGATAATCATTCTGTACCACTGGCAGAGTTTTGATGCGCCGCCTCAACTTGAAATGATCATTCTTGAATTACTCTGGCAAAACCACTCTGCAGTGCTGAGCGTGCTGAGAGACACTGCGTGCTGAGCGTGCTGGGGACACGTGTCCTATATTAGTAGTAGTACGATGATCGCGTGTTGTCTGCACCCGTCGGCATCGCCATAGTACGACGCGCGTGCTAGCAGCGTACTCGCCATAGTACGGCGCGCGTGGTAGCAGCCTACTCGCCATAGTACGGCGCGCGTGCTAGCAGCCTGCTAGCCATCTGCCATGGATCCGCGGGCATAGATCTGCCGGCATAGCCGAGCTGGTAACGGCGTAGTACCCTGAGGCTGCATCAGTTCCACTGCTTACGCGTCGATCTCCGGGTCGCTTCCACCCCTCGAATTACGTTTTCACGGTGGCGCTTCCACACGCCGCTGTATGGACACTTTCTCGGTCCTCAGATAACCGTGTCGCTGCCATCCCTCAGATAACTCTGCTGCCGACACGGCTTGACCGATATTACGTGCCCCACCTAGCCACGTGGACATTGCCGAATCTTCTCTATTCCCCGCGATCAGCTCGTGCCTCCCCCGACGTTAAACCCAGCCTCGGACTCGTTCTCCCGCCTCACCGTTCCTTAGAGATATTGAACCCGGCCAGCCTCACGCTCTTTATTGAGTATTCTCAAATACCGCTCAGTCTCGTTCTCCCGTCTCACCGTTCCCCAGAGATGTTGAGCGCTCTTTAATGGGAATTCACAAATACCGCTCAGTCTCGTTCTCCAGTGTCACCAGTCAGGGAATTGTTCGGTCTATTCGAGTTGCGTGCTCATTCCCCCTTGTGCTATCCATGCGGTCGAGTATTGAGAATTGTCAAATATCGCTCAGCCTCGTCATCCAGTGTCACCGTTACCCTCAGTGTCTTTTGAGATTGTTCAGTGCCTTCAAGTTGCTCGCTCTTTCCGCCGCCTTCTTCTCCGTGCCGCGCTCTCTTGAATTCGCCTTTCCCAAGCCTGATGTTATACACTCACTAAACAGTGAACATTCCTCTCTCTCTCTCTCTCTCTCTCTCTCTCTCTCTCTCTCTCTCTCTCTCTCTCTCTCTCTCTCTCTTTCACACACTCACTCACACACACTCACTCTCTCTCTCTCACACACACACAAACACACACACACACACACCACTCACACACACACACACAATTACGCCCTCCCCCAGTCTCATTCTGCACTGGATGACACCCAACTCAACCACACTCAACCTCCTCCTAGAGACCATCGTGCCAGGCTGGGCGGCAGTGGGGTGGTCAGCGGACGGCAAAATGGTCGGCAGTGACGCGGTGGTGGGCAACACGGGTGACCCACCCACTGTGAAACCGTACAAGCTCACTTCCACTTCACCCGGCGGTCAGAACCCCGTTACTTCTTTCGAGCTTGGCGAAACGTCTGTGACCACGGATGGCGATTCAACTTATATTAAGTGAGTGAGGGCTGTTTCAATATTAACGGAGAATTGCAGTGAATGTTAGAATGGTGGTGATGATAGCAACAATGGTGATGCGGCATCACGCTGAGATAACAAAATCATAAAACCAGAGTTGTAACACGCAACTTGTAACACCAAGCATATAACACCACTCTGTAACAACATGCAGGGGTTCAATTTGTGCACACCTTTCTGGTGACATTTGTGTGGAATTTTTTGTCTTCTTGCACACAATGCAAGCACCATGCATTCTGATCTTCAGTACCAGTAAGGCTTTCTGATCTTCAACTCCAGAAGCAGCACCAATCACCACCAATCAACCATGTTTTTTCGGGTGCTCCTCGTTGCAGATTCTCACGCACCGAGGGCACAGGGGACGTGCCTGTGAAGCTGTCCGGCCCCTCGGCAATCATCTATGCCTCCTCGCCAGACATCTCCACGACTTTAGCCTACCACGGCCCTTCAAGGTACCCCTCACCTTTCTCTAATCCAAACCACGGCGCTCATGCTCTTGTGGCTTCACCTTCTGAACCTGCCCTTTTTTTTAGGCGCCTCTCCTGCCATCTTTTGAGGCGCCTCAACGGTTTTCTCCAGTCTAAACAACGGTTCTGATGCTCTTGGTTTCACCTGCTGGACCTGCCCTCTCGCCCTGCCTGCTACATCACCATGCAATGAGCATTTCAGTGAAACCCTCGTTTCTTAAACCGCTCACTTAAGTGTGTGTTTTTTGCTGCTTTCAGGGGATCGGCAGTTGTAGATTTCTCATGCAAGGTGAAAGCACCAGCACCAGCACCAGCAGCACCTGCCACACCACTTGCCACACCACCTGCCACACCACCGGCACCACCCTCAGGCTCTTCACCTCCCACTGGCAGCACCAGTTCCCCACCACCCCCTTCTCCCACGCCAGCACAGCCAACACCCAGCCCTTCACCACCCCCTTCATCCATGCCAGCACAGCCAACACCCACCGCTCCTCCTCCACCACCGCCCAAGGCAGGGGGCCTGGCTGTTGATCGTGCTCATTGGCTGCTACCTGTGGCTCTGATTGCTGGGCTCATTCCTTATCTAGTGGGCATGGCTTGATGCAGTGTGGGTAGTCAATGACACGTAATGCAGTGGTGGCGGGCTGGGGCTGATGATGTGACTATTCTTGGCGCTCTGCAAACTTGAAGCAGCCTTAAATCGACCGATGGGAACACACTGACAAATGGCGTGAAGCTGCTGAAAGACGAGAAGCATTTGCCAGAAGTAGACATCCATGATGGGCCATCTGAATTTTGTTACGGTATTCTCTTATTTAGTGTTTTGATTAACGTTAGGGCTTCCAGGTTGAATCGAAGGCGAGAGTCAATGACCTTTCTATCATCGTCCCCGCTACACGGTACAAAACCGTACAACCTAATGTGAAGGCTTGGCCAATGACCTCTTTCAACCAAGCAAAATAATCAATTCCCCCTTGGGCAAGGGTTCAACATTAAACCCTCGACCTGCCCACAAAAGTACGGCATGTGGTTTTGGGCATTCCACAACACTTCTATCCAGACATTTGGGGTAACAGACCTTCACAATCTCAAAAACGTTACGCTATTGGTCCGTAGCAATTCCTGATGCTGACCGCGACGATGTAATCAGCGGTTTCAGAGTGCCCGCCGATTCGTCGTCGTCACCCTCAAGGCTCTTTCATCTCGAAGCCCCACAACCAAGCAAACCAACCAAGACTTAACAACTATCCGAATTGTGTGATCCAGCATCCGCGCCGCGACGTGGTGGTTCTCACTCCGACGATCAGTTTTGTGATGATGTCACATTCTAGCAGCACCTAGTTTTTTTGAGCGACATGGAGGTAGCGCCCCTGTGCATGAGCGGCGCCACCTACCTGATAGCACGCACTCGGCGGCCAATGGCCGGCAGGATTCCGTCAACGGCGCCTGCTGTAGTCACTATCCTGCTCGTGGCGTTCGTCGGCGCGCAATTCGCGCCGAGAGCGGCGGCGCAAGATGCTGAACCGTGCATCGCATCAACTATTAAAGGGTACAACATCGCGGTGCAGCTGGGGAGGTGAGGGCAGCTGCCAGGCATAGCGAAGACGATGCTGTGCGATTGAAGCATCACTCGCGATGTTTCGCGATGACCATCATGATGTGCGACTAAAGCATCGCTTCTCGCGATGCTTCGCGATGACCATGCCGTGCGACTGGCAGGCAGCACCATGCCGTGGCAGTGCTAAGCAATCACAATTGCGATCCGCAGTAATGATTACGATCATTGCGTAGTAGTGTGTCTGCAGCACCCCGTCAGCATCGCCCGATTTCGATGTGCATGCTCTCTAAGCGAACTCGCCTCGCCATCTGGCAGATGATCCAGATGCGTTAAGAGCGAACTCGCCTCGCTGTGGCGGATCGAGTGAGCATGGATCTGCCAGCATACATGCTTATGTCACGCCCTGGGGATGAGTATATTCTCGAGTCGACGAAAAAAAATCCTTATCACACGCGGATTGAGTGAGCATCGATCTGCCAGCATACATGCTTGTGTCACGCCATGGGGATGCATGATGCATCCAACCCGCTGCTTACGCCTCTCTTTTGAGTCGACTCAAAACGAGGTGACTTTTGAGTCGACTCAAAAGTCACCTTGATTATGTCGCGCCATGGGGATGCATCCAACCCGCTGCTTACGCCTCTTTTTATGGGGCTCCTGGAAGAGCACAGCGGGGTTTATCTCATCCAATGCATACGTGTTGCCTCCACGAATCAGCTGACGTTTTCACCGTGGCGCATCCGCTTGAGGCGGGGTGACATAGCTTCTATTCTATTGCTACTCGTATTCGTCGTAATAATGGTGGTAAATTTAGCCATTTTCTTCTCGGATTCTTCCCAATAAACCTCTACAATATATAGGGTTAGCTATCTGCTGCATGAGATACAAGCGAGCAAGCAAAGGTTCTGGCAGAATCCTGATGTTCCAACACAGCGTGACCAGAACTACATGCCCCGCCCAGCCACGTGGATGTCCCCGAGTTTGTGGCTGTCCCCGACGTTGAGCCCAGCCCCGACGTTGAGCCCAGCCCCGACGTTGAGCCCAGCCCCGACGTTGAGCCCAGCCCCGACGTTGAGCCCAGCCCCCGTCTATATTTTGAGCACCTATTTATAGTCTCCGTGGGCCGCTCTTGCCTCCCACAACGATGATGATCCAAGGCGCAATCTCATTCCCCTCTGCCCATTCCCAGAGACAGTTCAGTTTCTTTGTTAGAATTGCACGCTCATTTTCCTAGTCACATTTCCTTTGTTGTGCTTCTCCCTGCGTTCTCTCACACGTGCCTGTCCCAAGCCTGAGGTCGTGTACTCACTGAACTCGCCCCAAATGTGCCATCTCTCTCTCTCTCTCTCTCTCTCTCTCTCTCTCTCTCTCTCTCTCTCTCTCTCTCTCTCTCTCTCTCTCTCTCTTTCTCTCAAATGCGCCCGCCCCCAGCAACTTTCTCCACTGGATGACACCCAACTCAACCACACTCAACCTCCTCCTGGAGTCCACATCACCTGGCTGGGCGGCAGTGGGGTGGTCAGCGGACGGCAGAATGGCCGGCAGTGACGCAGTGGTGGGCAACACAGCCAATCCGACCACTGTGCAAGCTTACACGCTTAGTTCTACCTTCCTAGGCGGTCAGAACCCGACCACTTCTTTTGAGCTTGGCAACACGTCTGTGACCGCCAACGGCGACTCGACTTATATCAAGTGAGTGAGTGCTGTAATGAGAGTAACGGACACAGTTCGAGGCACCTTAAAAAGGCTCTGACGCGGTGGTCGGCAACACGGGTACTCCAGCCACTGTGCAAGCGTACACCCTCATTTCCAACTTACCCGGCGGTCAGAACCCAACCACTTCTTTCGAGCTTGGTGACACGTCTGTGACTGCGAATGGCGACTTGACTTATATCAAGTAAGTAGGGGGTTTGGTGAGATTAACGGACACAACACAGTGCATGTTAGAATGATAGTGATGGTGATGCGACATCAGGACGAAATGCCATAAGTTATAACACCAAAGTAGTAACACCCAAGCTGTAACACCAAACATTTAGCAGCACGCTGCAACTTCGAGCAGGTTACAATTTGTGCACACTTTTCTGGTGTGGCTGTTACCAATCACTCATGTTTCACTGGCCGTGCCCGGCTGCAGATTCTCGCGCACCGAGGGCACCGAGGACGTGCTTGTTTTGAGTCGAATCAAAACATGTTTCACTCATGCTTTACTCAACTTGTCTGGCTGCAGGTTTTCTCGCACGGAGGGCACAGGGGACGTGCCTGTGAAGCTGTCTGGCGCCTCTGCAATCATCTATGCGTCCTCACCAGATGGCTCCAATACTCTATTCTACCACGGCCCCTTGAGGTACGACATTTGATGCGCTTAAAAAAACGAGGGCACAGGGGACATGCCTGTGAAGCTGTCCGGCGCCTCTGCGATCATCTATGCTTCCTCACCAGACGGCTCCAAGACTTTTTTCTACCACGGCTCCTCAAGGTCTGAACCAGAGTGCTGATTTCTATGTGCAACTTCGCCTGCTGGAAATCCCCTCTCGCACTGCCACATCTACATGCAATGCGCATTTCAGTGAAAACTCGTTGTCCGAAACGGCTGACTCAATTGTAATTTTTTAATTGTTGCAGGGGATCAGCGGTTGTTGATTTCTCCTGCAAGGTGGAAGGAGCAGCACCAGCGCCAGCACCACCTGCCACACCACCCTCAGCCTTGCCGCCCCCCACCGGCAGCACCAGTTCCCCACCACCCCCTTCACCCACACCAGCAGAGCCAACACTTAACCCTTCCCCACCTCCACCATCGCCCAAGGCTGGGGCGTTGGCTTTCATTAATGCACACTGGATGGCGCATGTGGGACTGGCTGCTGGGCTCCTTCCCTATCTGCTTCGCATGGCCTGAGGTAGTGGGTTATAATTGATGTGTGATCAGGTTTTTGATTTGAATTGATGATGTGCATAATTTTTTCTTATGCACAAACCTGGGAATGACAAACAGTTGGAAAGCCTTGGACGGAACACTCCTAGGGGAAATTTCGTAAGCTGTAGTTGCCCTGAGTAATATACTAATGTTAGTTGCCAACTACATTTCTGAAGCCACACCTTGTGATATGTGGAGTGGAGTAATTTTGCAGGTTCCAAATGCAACAGAAAAACAAGATTCGACGTTTACGTCGGAAGGGTTGCGTAGAGTTGTATCCCTTGTGTTAGAAACATTATTATAGAGTACATTATACCGTATTCTCCTGGACATAACACCCGGGGGTATTATGACAACCACAGTGAAAAAAAGGGGGGGGGGGGGGGGGGGGGGGGGTCCTCTCAACGGAAAATCCTATATAATACCCGGGTGGTTATATATGGTAGTGTTTCAATGGTTGCTCTAGCATCACAGTTTGAGGCGAGAATGTGAGTTTTGGCGAGAATGTGAGTTTCACCATTCAGGCCACTTGCAACGGAAGATTCGCCAGCATGGCGACTTCCTAGAATGTGGGATGGGGGGAATGTCCACTTGCAGCGAAAGATTCGCCAGGGTGGCGACAGTGAGATTGTGGGGGGGGGGGGGGGAATGTCGGCGGATTCTAAGTGCAAGTACACGCGAAATTTCATATAGGAAGCAATTCTTGCGATATTCTCCTGTAAGGAATCAGACTCGATAACAACTAAAATAGGAATCCGTATGAAAAGGGGGGTGTTATAGAAAATCATCCAATAAGGGGGGTATAGTAGAAACGAGGTCGCCCATAGCACCCACCCCGCACAAGCTACCCCGGGGTGTACTATCATGGGGGGGTGTTTTGTACGGGAGAATACGGTAATTACATTTCGCTTATAGAAGCAATTCATTAAGTTTTTCATTTTTTCTTAAAACATGACAGGCTCTATAGTATGTCGAAATAGCTAGGCAAAAGTTAGAAACATGAAAGAGGGGATTTCACTAGTAGGCAGTTGAGTACATATAACAAACCTGTGAAGATAAGGAGTAGAGGAGGTAGGCGCCATAGCTAGGAAAGCCCTAGCTAGGCAAGAAACAATTTAGGCAAAGAGAG